AACAGCAGAATCAAACTAAAGAGAACACAAACAAGTCTCAAGTTTTCAATCAAGCTTTTAATGAAAAGATCATAAAATAACAGTTTATTTTTCCTCACTGCTGTACATTAAGACTGTAAGGTTGTGAGTGCTGAGGTCAGCCGTATTACACTTTTATGACACTTTTGAGTTTGTGAGCCCCGTCGCTCTGCACGGCGGTGGCTCTGACCTGAATACGAGCTCTCTGAGGAGTGGAGATAAAGAGAGAGCCCAGCCTGGGTGCTGCCAAAAGCCACAAAAAAAGGGTCAAAGAACTTCACCTTCAATACTGCTGTATACAAGTTGGGCGGTGTTTGCAGTCTAGACGGTGGCATCTGTGTTTGCGTCAGTGGAGGTTTATGGGCATACATGGCAACAAAAGTGCACCTGGGTGTGTACACCTTTGCATGCAATGTGTGTTTGCCAAAGGGGAGGGCTTCTTGCCCTTTAATTATTCATCAGCAAAGACCCTACATGTCCATTCCAGAGACTCTCAGCCCCATAGATCCTGATACATTATTGAGAGGCTGTTCCCGAAGAAAACCAGAGAGGAAGCTCGATACACCCACTTCATGAGCAGCTCCACTAACCAACTCTTCAAGTATTATCTCCATTGTAGCAGCTAATCACGTCTGTCCGTTAATGTAGTGCACATCAAGGTGCCTTAAGATGTCCATAAAAATATCTAAATAACAAGTTATGTATGAAAATATGCTGCTATAAACCCTTTTTCAAAACAAGAACATTTTGGTTACAGATGGACGGCAAAAATGTGTAAATGTAATGGCAAGACAGCAGATTTCTGTAAACACTGAACGTTTTTGAGGTAATTTGGTGCTTTCTATTCTTAGTCACTACAGTGGAAATGTAGTAAATACTGAAAATTGCAGCAGAGCACTAACACAGATTACCGCGGACCAAAGGGCTAAAGCAGAGGGGTCAGGTGTATCTGAGATAAAGCAAAAAGCACAATAAAGCTTAGACAGGCTTTAATGGGACTGGAGGCCATTTTAAAACTAGGCTTTGGTTCAGTCTGCCAAAAGTAAGGAGGAGCATCGTTGCACTAACTGGACAGAACAGCACAAAAAGCTTGAATAGTGGTAAAAGTAAGAAACGCAAAAACTTCCAGATGAATGCAAAGAGCTGAGCACAGTCGGAGGAGTTTCCTGCTTCATGGATGCCACTTTAAAGCTTTTCTAACACTGCATAAACAATATGGTACCCCCCCCCCCCCCCCCCCCAAACACAACAATGATGAGGTAAGAAGAGAAAGACAAAGAGTAAACCGTCAGTTAAATCTGAACTGATATGAGAGCATCTGGTTCTCCCAGAGGCTTTAAAAACATACAAAGTGCACTTAGTAAAGCTATCTCGATCAATGTTTCTAAAATCCACCTAACAGACACTAAAAAACATGTAAATTAAAGATGGAAGAAGTGGTTTAAGACAAGAAATTCAAGATAATTACTGTTCAGAGGTGTGACTTATGCACACGTTTAATTTTCTAGAACTACTTTTCTTTAGCATCAGCAGCATGGCAACACCCAGGGAGAGCAAGCTTGAAAAAATAAAATAAAATACAGTAGCCTCCGCTCTGCACAGGCAGTGTCCAGCCTGCGTCCACAGACACACATACACAAGGGGTCAAAGTTCAACTTCCCTCAGTGTGCAGTCAGTGAGAACTCCAGACTGCATGGGTGAAAAGAACCCACAGTAAAACACATGAAATTAAATCTTTACAGACTGTCAGGTATAACTGAAGATATAGTAAATGCCATAGACCATTTTCTTTAAGTTGGAAAAAAAAATACATGAGTTCTCCCACAACAAAGTCGTCTTCACAGATTGTGGTTAATGGCTATGTTTTGTCTCATCTTAGATTCAGCTTGAAATCTTCAAAGTAAAAACAAAAAAGGGGGTCCTGCCACCACCTCAGTCTCACACGCTGAGTAAATTCTTTGAAGAGGTGAGGGCAAGCCCAAAAATAAATACATTCATCAGCGACAATAGACATTTGATTTAAAAAAAAAAAAAAAGAAAAAGAACAAAGAACACTGTCAATAAGTGTTTGCGCCAACTTTGTTTGAGGCTCGGCCAGACGGAGGTTTGTGCCACTTTTTTCCACAGAGCACAGGCAAAGAGGGGAAAAAATAAAAAGTTTCAAATGCGGAAAAATGACAACGTTCACAGTTAAGACTACGAGATAAGCCTGTTTACACGTAAAGAACAGATCAATGCTACATTTTTCTGATAGGATTTAAGATCCGCCGGCACAGGATGAATCGTTTTAAGACGACGCAAGCATTGAAGAATCGCCCCACTTGAGCCCAAACAGAAGACCTTCGGGCACGGTTGGGTAAACAGCGGCGCAACATATAAAGCTAAAAGACATCGTCAAACAATGCCCTTTGATTAATACGTCAAGGATGCACTGCCCACCTCCCCCCTTGCCGGCGGCCCCATCTGAAGACAGGCCAGAGGGCAGGAAAACTGGGGTGCAGGGTCACCCCAAAGCCAGCTGGCAGGGAGAGAAGGAGTGGGGGTGTCCCTAAAGCACACACCCTCCTAACTGAATATGCAGCAGCCCCACCCCATGTTTAATGGTATACTTCTGTTTTGGCAGCAACGTCTGTGGAAAAGTATCTTAAAAAAAAAAGTAAAAAGAAAAACTGGAATACACAAAAAGACCACCTCCCTGCTGGCCGAGCCTCGACTGAGGTCTGTAAAACTGTAAAAGTTCATGTAAACAATGAGATAAATACATATGTTTCTTTTTTTTTTTTTTTAGAGCCACACATGGTTCCATAATCATTCAAATGTGCTTTGGTTTAAAAAATAGTTTGTGGATTTGGGTATGAGCTTTTTTTTTTCTTCTTTCTTTGTAAAAGGTTGCAACTAAGTTCTGAACATACCGTGTTACCAAATAAAATGTAGAGGGTTTTTTTTGAGCTGCCTCGCCTTTGTCAAGGCTTTTTGTGTTAGTTGAAAAAGATCCCCCCCCCCATTCCCCCGTGTTTTGTCTTAAATATGAAACTAGTGTTTTTGCTTTCCCCCCTTAAGATTAAAATACAGATAAATTGATACAATGCTTTATCTTACAAATGTAGCTGAGAGTCTGCATTCACAGACAGAACAATCCCTGAAGTACATGAATAGTAGTAGTACTAGTAGTAGTAGTAGTAGTACAGTCACAGTTTGGAGTTTTTTTTTCTTCGTTATGTCAAAACAAGCAAGCATTCAAATGTCTCTTTATGCAGAGATGGCTAAAGGTTACGACGTACAAACACCTTTCGCATCACAGATGTTTTGCTGTAACGCACCAAGTGCCGACATTAACGTTTGAAGGCAATGCAATGTGGACTCCCTCTCAAGCAGGAAGAGGTCACGAGCAAAAAAAAAAAGAAAAAAGTATCAGGCGATAAATAACGCGCATGTGGGTAGAGGGGGGCTAAGTTGGGGAGTGTGAAAAATCCACATGTACCATGCAATATCTAAAGAGCAACAAGATAGAAAAACTCCGGGAGTCCAGGATGCAGGTACCTCTAAACGATAGTGACGTTTGTGAAACTTTAGCTGCATCCCTGTGATAAGAACATTTCACAGACCTAAACAAGATGAAAGAAGTATTAAAACAAAACCTTTCAATCAAGAGGACAGTTAAACCTACATAACAGAGGAATGCCTATACCAAAGACTTGTAGCGAAGGGTAATAATAACCCACAGTGTGACTTTTTAAGAGTAGAAACACTGGACAAGTATCAGAGCAAACGATAAACAGGGCCATTCTCGACTTGTGGTTTCTTACACCTTAAAGTAGTTTAAAATAATTTAAAACAGTTGGATGATAAAATGGAATACAATCAGAAAGAAAGATGCTGCAGGAGACCGAGTTGTCCATCTGTCCAGTGCATCTCTGCTTCTCCCTTCTTATTAAAACGTTTCACAAGTCTGGCAAAAAAAAAAAAAAAAAAAAAAAAAGAGTAACTTAAACTTCACATTAAAATTCTGATAAATCCTATCTCCTTTTTTAAATTTTGGTCTGAACAGAACAAATAAAAAAAGTCATCAAGTTCTGTTTTGTTTTTTTTTGTGTTTTTTTTGTATGCGTGTCGTTTTTCTTATTTTAAATCAAGGAATATAAAGTGATAAGGACTCTGGACACAAACTGAAAAACAAAGAGTTAAACTTTACCAGTTTTGTCAGGTGGTAAAGTTTACCATGTACCGGCCCACCAATCAGCACAAGCTTTCCTTGCAAACCACAAGAACCATCATTGGTCTCAGAGTCATTGGCCAAAACTCCCTCAAACGAGTGGATTTCTTTGTCTGGACTTTAGAATATAATTCATAATTTGTTTTATACAGCAAAAAGAAATTAAAAGAACAAATAATTTAGTATGCTATATATCTTAAGTACATCTTTTCTCATTAAACTTTGGTTATGAACTTGTCTAGCACTGTTTGTTAGTTAGCTCTGCTCTCCGTAACATTCATTAAGATCTTTGGAACACTATACATCTAAACTAACCAACTAGCCACTATTTGCTCCTGGCAGGAAGCTACAGTACACTTTGAATTGGGGCCACAGTGACCCGGAACCCCTAAAAAAAGCTATATCTGACAAATACAAACAGCTAAAAACAACATTAATGCGTAAAATCTATGAGCATTAAAAACCTGTGTTGAGAGATGGGCAGGTTAAAGCATTAGGTGAAAAGTTACCATAATCTACACACTTTTTACAATTAATTACATAGAAACTTTCAACTAATCGACAGAGTTCGTGAGAGTAATCAGAGGTAGCGAGGTCACAAGTCTATATAAATAGACTTTTTTTTTTTGAGGGGAGGAAAGCTATACAGAAAAATAAAATAAACGTACCCACTGAACGTAATGTTAATTTTAAAACACCCCTCCTTAGCCGCATTGAACCCTACCCAACCCAACCCCACCACAACACAACCAGAACCCCCCTCCCCTCAACAAGAACAAACAAACAAAAAAAAAGAAAGGACCTTCCAGTTTAAACATTCACTGAAACATGACAAGCTCTTTAGGTTGAAGAAGTACCACAAGTGGTTCAACTTTCCAGCAAGGATTCACTCCTTGGCGCACTAGCAGGCAAATTTATAAAACGACGACGACTCTTCTATACATCAGCAAACAGCCACAGAGAGGACGCCGAATATTCTGGTCAAAACAAACGCATCCGACCCGACATTAACCTTGCGTCTTCCTGGACTTTCAGATAAAGCATGGAAATGGTCCCAAACCCAGTTACCCCTCCTTTTTCATACATATACTTTCACCAACATTACAAACAATATAAAGCTGTCAGGGTAAAAATAATATTATTTTTTGCTGAATTATTGCCAGTATTGTTTGCACTGATTTTTGGTCAAAATAGCTCTGGAGTACAGATGGGACTTTAGAGTTGATCTGTTTACGGAAAAATCTGAAAAACTCAAACACTTCGAGTGAAGAGAGGAAGGCTGAGGGGGTGTGAGGTGAGGGAGGGAGGGAGGGGTCTTGAAATTATATCAGTACCCATATTCACATTCAACAAACAAGATGTCATGCCACTGCATCATGGCTTCGTGACTTTGGAGAGAGACACACACGAGTAAATTGTCCCTCGAAAACTCCTGAGAGATGAGCACACGTCACTCGATAAAAACGATGACCTGATCCTGGCACCAACAAGATCCCACCGTCAATAAAGAGACCACCATGGAGAGCAGCAACATCATTCACTCATCCAGGGCATCGTAAACTGGACTTAATAAGTAGAACTATGTGTGGTTTCATGTGAATGTGTGCATTTCTTTGCTTCTGAGATGGAGAAAAAAAAACGTAGAGAAATGTTCTTTTTTTCTTATTCCCGTAGTTCTTTGGCTTGATGCATTTCTAAGAGGGCGAGGTGTGCATTCTCAGGTGACTGATGAGGTTGCGTTGCTGGGTAAACTTCCCACCACATAGCTGGCATTCGTACGGCTTCTCCCCAGAGTGAACACGCATGTGCTCTGTCAGGCGGTATTGACGTGTGAAGCGCATGCCGCACTCTTCACATGCAAAAGGCTTGAGGCCTAGGTGGCTGCGCATGTGGCGCGTCATGGTTCCCCTCTGGGTGAACATTTTGCCGCAGATGTTGCAGGGGAAGGGCCTGGTCAGCCAGTGACTCTTTTCATGTTGTCTCAGCGTTGCAGGGTCTTTGTAGCTCTTACTGCAGACAGTACACTTGAATGGACGTGTTTCAGAGCCAAAGCTGGAGGGACCTACAGGGGCAGAAAGGTCCTCAGCCTCCTCCTCGTCTTCCTCTTTTACGAAGGTCCCGCCCTCCTCTTTGATGTAAAGCTCATCCTCAGTGTGCGTCTCCACATGAGCATTGAGCTGCTCAGAACTGGGGAAGCCCTTACCACAGGGAATGCACACATAGAGGTTGTCCCCAAATGCTGGCTCAAAACCTTCCTGCCGGTACACATAGTTGACGCTGTGGTGTCCTCCTGATCCTCCTCCACCTCCTGCACTCTCTCCATCACTTTGACCACTTTCATCACTGTGGTCTTGGCCATTTTCTCCTCCTTCATCCTCATCTTTACACTGGAAGGACTGGTCAGACGCAAAGCAGCTACCACTTCCTCCACAGATTCCAGAGGAGCGGCCATCTTTAGGAACCACAATCACACCGTTAACGAGGGGCCGGTCGTGTTCCTCTGACTTTAACCCTGATGCCTCTCTCTTTGGCCATTCATTCTTTCGAGCAGCCTGACGGGTTTTTTTCTGTGGTGGAGGACCATCAGTTTGGTTTTGGGATTCCTCTGAGGTTTTAGAAGGGGTGTTGAGTTCCATGGTCTCCGAGATGCAAGTGTCTACACCTGGTAGGGTGGTTGAGGAGTCATCCAACGAGGCACTGTTGGTTGTGGATACTGAGGCAGATTGAGGGGACTCCTGGGAGTTGCTGTGCGGGCTGAGGGCATCAGTGGCTGTGCCTGCAGAGTGAGGACTCTTCTTGGACAGATCAAGTCCAAGATCTGGCTCTCCAGCGCTTGCTCCACTGCTAAGATTACCATTACTGCTTCCATTTCCCCCATTCCCTGTCTTGCCAGTGCTGCCGACAAATATCTCATCATCTGAGAGCTTGTCCCGAAGGCCTTCATCTGGTTGTGGTTGGTCGGCATCGGAAGGGGTTGGAGGATAGTGGTTGTTGGGACCAGCAGGGGTAGAAGAGGAAAGGCGCTGGTTGTTGAGGCGTAGGCGGCTAAGAGGACCTAGCGTGGAGGGTTTTCCTGGTTGGGGCTTCCCACTACTGCGCTTGAGCTTCTTTCTGCACAGAGCGGCAAGGTCATGGAGCTGGAGGTAGCTAGCTGCAGTCAAGAGGGCACTGAAGTTCTGCTCGTTGCTCTGGTCTGAAGAGGACAGGAGCTTTCCAGTATAAATAAAATCCAGAACTTGTCTAAACACAGAGGGGTTGACCATCTCTGTGTCAAGGTTAATTAGGTTATCGTGGAGGACCAAAGACTTGAAGTAAATGCTGCTCGCTGCCAGGATGTTCTTGTGAGCACGGAAAAGTGCATTCTCCACCACGATGATAACATCACACAGGAAGCCTTTGGCTCTCTGTTGGTTGAGTTGCAGCAACAGTTGTTTGGCATGATTTGGCAGTTCCATTTCCTCCCTTCTTCTCTCTCTCTTCCACAACGAGCACCACCTAAAGCTAAAAAGACAAGGAAAGACAAAAAAAGTTGTCAAGATCAAGTAAGCTTGATTTTATAGTTAAAAGAAATAATTTTTAATGATTGAAAACAGCAAATAAATTGCATTTTTATGACCCCACCTCTGCAAACACATACACTCTAGGCCTCAAATAGAAATTAGCACATCTTTCGAACATGCTACACATAGGCCTGTCACGATAACAAATTTTGCTTGGCGATTGTCTCATAAATTATTGCGATAAACGGTAATATTGTTTGAAATTTGACATTGCCGACAGTAATTATCGTCAAATTTAAGAAGAAATGTTGGCAAATTTATTTTGTGTGTAGTACCTTTTTTCTGACCACTGGATAACAATATAAGACTATTTGAACCAAAGGATGGATAGTGAGGGAGTGAGCAACGTGTCTCTCTAAGAAAAATAGGAGGGATGCAACTTGACGTGACATAGGCCGTCTCTCCTTCCTCGTTTTCAGTCCTCAAAATGGCGGACACTCGATGTGGTTTGAGCTCTTTAGCATAGCTTTTTTCACACAAAGCTTTTAATTAAAAAAAAATTCAGTAATTAAGTTCTCAGATTCTTTTTGCAGAGAAAAAACTTTTTACACGAAGGCATGGATTTCAACCGTGAATTTTGGAGCTTCGACAAGATGGAGGTTCCCCCCCCCCCCCCAGGTTGGCCTGTTAGCTTAACTCGTAGCTTAGCTTTTCAGCTTAGCTGCTTTTAGCGAAGAGAAAAGAAACGATAAAGCTGATAAATGAAAATGACGTGGATAATTTTCATTTTTCATGCGATTAATTGATTTATTGTTTATCGCGACAGGCCTAGCTACACTTAACATTGCAGATAAGAAATTGAAACCCATGTCCTCCCTTTCATCCTAAATTTTAAACAAATTGTTACCCTACATAGATCATATTCTGATTGTACATGATGCTGCTGTTCTGGCACAAAAGCCACAGAGGCAGGGAGGAAGAAAGGGTAAAGTAACCATTTTCCTAAGGTGCCTCCTCTCAGCTTCTCTTCCTCACTTTAACAAAGTAACTAGTTTCGGTGGGGTGCCCTCTTTGGAAACACGACTCACACTCGTCTCCATTAGGTCATGGTAATGTCAGCCCTACCCCATTGTCTGAGGGTGGGGGTCGGTGGCACAGCAGGGCCGGGGGGGAAGGATTAGGTGACACCTGAGCAGGTAAAACTACACAAGAACATAGGCAGACAGGGAGGGAGAGGGTGTGGCTCAAAGACAAGGACGGCACTACTTGATCATCAAGAGAGGCCCTCATTTATGGAATTAGGACAGGTGAATCGCGTTCACCGATGACCTACCACATACCACGATGCTCTTTTCCCAACCGAACACAAAAACATGATTTTCTTTATGGCTTTTGGATGCTGGGAAAATTAGCCTATATGTTTAATGTCACTGAACACAGTCATGTAAAGCACATGTCTAAAAAGTAAACATTAATGCAAAATAAAGAAATCCCTTACTTATTAGGTCATAAAACACATGAAAACATGCCAATTAAATAAGTACAGAAATATAAATTTACTACAAATTTACTACACAGCCAGGAGAAAATGTTGCTTGTTAAACTAAGCAGCTTGAAAGATGCACATCAGAAAAGTTTTTTTTTGTTGTTGTTAACAGAACACATCTAATACGCAAGAAAGGAAAATAGATCCAACAGACGTTTAAAAGGTAGCTTCTCTAGCTTAAATAGTTTTTGAACATATTTGGAAAAATGTAAACATGTTTTCTTGATGTTTTAGCCCAGTATATTTGGATCTCAGTTTCTGGATGGTTTAACTACAGTAGTTAAGACAAGTTAAACAGACTTCAGATAGGAAATATCCATAATTTCTGAGTCTGCACCACAGGAACAATAGGAGTCCTATAATCTGTATTTAGAATTAAATTCATATTGTTTTCTTAAAACAGAAATGAAAAACTTTGCAGAGTGGAAATTCAAGGACAAGAAGAAGAATTTGTATTGTAGTTGTGTTGTAATTGGTCCTGAAGTAATAAATGAGCATTAAGTAGTCAAGATGAGGTCTGCATCAAATATTATGTGTAAACATCTGTAATACTTTTACCTTTAACGTGAACCCTAAAAACATGGCAGTGATTAACACACTTGGACGTCAACTTTCACGAGTTTACATGCAATGGAAAAAAAAAGCTTTGACCTATCAATAACATCCCAATGAGCCATAACATTTGAACAACTTGCCTAATATTCAGAATTCAAAATCTTACTTCTAACATACAAAGCCCTCAACAACCTAGCTCCAGCTTATATTACAGATATTACTGTTCCATACTTTCCTAACAGAGCACTTGGCTCTCAGACTGCAGGCTTACTTGTGGTTCATAAGAGTTTGCAAAAGCAGAACGGGAGGAAGATCTTTCAGTTATCTGGCTCCTCTCGTGTGGAACCAACTTCCAGTTTCTGTCCGTGAGGCTGACACGTTGTCTACATTTAAGACTAGAGTTAAGTCTTTCCTTTTAAATAAATCTTAGTTATAGTTGGGGTCAACTTGGATTTTCTGAGCTATTAAAAAGGTCTCTGTTGTAAATGAGTCACTGAGGCTCAGTGAGACCAACCCGTATAAATAAATGTTGAATGAATTAATATTAAGTAGATCCAGCTCCTGCCACCATAGAATTGATAAAAGGAAATCTCTGCATTAACAATTACTTTCCATTTTCACTGGCTGCACCTTATCTAATTTAAAATAATTGAGGAAACACTGTTCTTTCTTTGACAATTTACACAGATTAGTGGTAGTTTGTGCGGTGTCCATGTATACTTAAACAAAATAAGCCTGCATCTTGGCAATATCTGAAAGATAACAGTGTTGTTAGTGAGAGCAGTGTGAGGTACACGTCACTTCCTACGTCACACATGTATGAAAATTTGGTTGTGTACCTCCTTTCACACAACACTTTAAAGCCAGGCCTTCTTCCTGCCTCTGTGTCATGTGAATTGTCTGTGGCAAATTGGGGGGTTGAAGCCAATCCACTGCAGAGGCGGCAGTGAAGGTAGTCACAGAGCAGAGTTGGTGAGTAGGTGTGAAGTGGGTGACTGCTCCACTTCGCTGGTTCCGTGATACATAAAAGGCACACATTGCTACAGAACCATGGCTAAATTAAGGGATTCTTCTTTGTAGGCTTATCACAAAACCATAGTGTGTAAAAGAGGCTTAACTAACTCCACTGCTGACCGAGAGGTGCATCATACACCGGTGAATGGTGTTTATAGACACTTAATGGGAAAAAATAAAATAAAAAACCTTGAAGTTATGTGATTCTCAGGGGAGCTCCCAATTTCCAAACATCCTCAGGGAGTCTATAGTTCAGCTTTGTTTGAAGGCCTCTTTAAAAATGGACGCACATCCTTCATCAGGTAACCCAGACTTTCATGCTCATCAATCACATTCGGCCATTTTCCATTTTCAAACATTATGAACAAAACCAGTCTTTAATGCCAGCAAGCACCACAATATCCAGAAGTCCAGGACTAACATAAAATGCAAGCTATAAATATGGAAATTGATATCATATGAAGGAACTTTTCTAAGAATGCGTCCCTTTTGGGCGATCTTGAGCATTGTTTAAGTGTAAACCAGAAATGGCTTGGGTCTGTCACAGTCTGACTGACTGATACAATCAGCTGAAGTAATCATTACTCTCAGGCCCAGGCCTGGGCTTGCCTCATCTGCTCTGACACCTCCTCTTGGTCTTCCTCCCCTCCCCCGTCCTTCTGCTGCACATCTTTCCCTTGCTCTTTTATCTTCCCACTATCACCACCGTCTCTCTGGACCTGCAACCACATCCCAGGAACAGTTCACTGTCCCTAATGTTGATCATAATGAGCCATTCTGGAATACATAACCCATATCTGTTAATCACAGAACCAGCTTCAGGGGTGTAGAGCACTCAACCCCACCGGCAGTAATGAACAAGAGGGGCTGCTAGAAAAATGAGAGCCTCTGCTACGATGCCAGCCAGGAAGCCATATATCATTCAAGTCTCTTAACATCCACATCTCTGCATGCCTTATGGTGGATCCAAGACACTTTCCTGCAGGCCAACATAAAAAAGAGGCTGGGCTCAGAGTGAAAAACCAGCACAGGAACAGAAAAAAAATATCCCCTCCCCTTCTCATCCCTCGCTCACCCTCTCCTTCCCCCATCACCCACACAGCTACATACTCCCCCTGGCCCCTTCGGTGCTGCACCGTGCCTGCTAGATTCCAGGGGGCTGCTAATGGATTACTGCTGATCTATATGCAGCTAAGGTGGGACACATGTAGTCCCAGCTCCCCTCCTAATGATGCTGCCCAGGAAAAGAGAGATGTATTACAATAGGGAAATGATAGGCTTGCACCATTATGGTACCTCCATCCGTGGGGGCCCGAGTTTTTAATACATATTTTAATGCAACCTCTAAGCAGTCATTCTAGTTCTTTGGAAATAAACATGACCCAAGGTTTGGAATTAGAAAGGTGAACCTGCAAGATGCAAATATGTTTCCAGCATGCTATTTAAGGCTGACATGCATGATCTGCATCCATGTAAACTGTAACATCCTTTGTTTTTTCATTAATTTTTCCCCCAGAGGCTTAAATGGTAGTTGACAGCATGGTTAGAAATTTACTCTGCACTTCATAAGAGGCAAAGTAAGGCTTTTGCTTGGACTTTTAACAGGCCAGGAGGAATGCTGGTCTTGTAGATACATGATCAGCTTACATTGACTTTAGTGTCAACCTTTTGAAAAACTAAAACGTAATGATAAGGGGGAGCAGTCTCATTTGAAAAAGGTTCAACCTTGACCTCTCTTGGAAGCCTGCCAACAAGAAAAGCTGACATGAATGTTTACCACAAAACAGACAGACATGATGTAGATAACATTACCCAGGTGTTGATTCATGACTGGAAACTAGTGAGTGTCGCAGTGCCCCGAGCACAGTGAATTAATGTCAACCGAA